GTCTGGGCCTAATATCTATTCCCATTTAACCTTTCACTTGCTTAGTATTGTTTTTGCTCCCACGTGGGTTTTAGAGGGTTGTTTTCCGCAAATGGAGGTAACCTATTTGCAGCATGTGTTTGGCCCGCCCCCCGGTTTTAGAGGGAATCTATCACTGGGCCCGGACCCTCAAGCTGCCCTTAAAATCGGGTGATTGTCAACCAAACCGATTGGTGAAGTCAGCCATTTTGAGTGTAGCTTGATGGTTCAGAGTCCGAAAAAAGCCTCCGGAGCTGTGCCAAGTGTGATGGTTCAGGGGCATATCTTTGCCCTGTTAAGCCGGTTGCACATGGCACGCGGGCACGCGGGCACGCGTTTTTTTCTTCTGGGTTTCTGGGGTCTAAGGGGCCCGACCTGGAAATGGACATGGCCTCAGGTCCTAGCGCGCCACAAGAAGCTGCAGGACTTGGGTGTGGAGCCTTTGCCCGGCCACCCAGGTCACCCAGGCCACGCAAAAGAAGCCGACCCGTTGACTTCCATTTGCTGAAGAATATCATTTATCTCACTTCCTGAGTTCCTCATGGGGGCTGGGGGGGAGGGGGGGGGGGGGAGGGAGCCCAAATAAGTTATTAAGGGCTTAATAAGGGCTTACTTGGGCTCCCTGCCCCTCCCCTCCCTCCCCCCCAGCCCCCATGAGTTCCCGTTTCGGACTTAATACTTCTTGAGTTTGGACCATTCTAGTAAACCGTGAAAGGTTTGGACTTTTGTTTATGTCACTCGACTCGAGAAGTAAGATGTTTTTTGGTCCTGGTTTTAATGGGAAGCGATTTCACTGCTGGAAATATGGCTTTATTTCTTCCTGGGAGCTCAAGCAAATGGAAGCTCAGTTGCACCCAAAACGAGCCGACCTTTGGACCAGTTACTTTCCCTCTTCTTGACTTTGTTGGGGCAACCAAGGCAAATAGACCTGAAACCATCTTGAAGCCCTGACTTGGAGCAAAACGCTTTAATTTGGTGGAAGCCCTACATTTTTTACCCTCTTTTGGTTGGTGTTTAATGGGAAACCAAACGGACACAACCATCTTTTGGGGTCCCCTAACAAAACACGCCCGTGTTGCAAGAGAGAACAAGAGCTTGCCAGGGTGTTGGTTTAGTATATGGTTGGTTTCCTTGCAAAGTGGTAGGGGCGTCCGGAAAACCACGTGTCCAACAGTCGGTTCGGTTTGGGCAAGTGAGAATTTTCTCGAGTTGAGGAATATGAGCTCAACAATTATGCACACCAGCCCCAGAATGTCTCTAAAACCCATAGCCACATCAAGGTAAGCAATGGGTGACTCTTCTGTCACGGGGCATCTCTGGAAGCCGATTTGCAAGGCTCATTTGCCCAAAGGACCTGGAAATAAATAGGTTGACCATTTGGAACCTTGACCCAAAAAACGGCTCAGGAAAAAGCAAAAGGTGTTCTCAGGGTCGAGTACTCCATGTCTCTGAATTGATCTCCGGTCGTGTCGGGATTCAGGTGTGTGGTGCGGAAAGCGCGGAAGCTGGTGAGTCCTTGGGCACCTCCGCAGGAGCGCTCGAGATCACCCGCCGGTGTAGTGCCCGTGTTCCCTTTTGTGCGGGGGTATGCCTTTCCTTCTTGGTGGGCTCAAACGGAAACCAAAAGGAAAGCCGCATTTTTCGGGGGGGGGGGGGGGAAGGGTGTGTGGCTTTAACACCAAGCATCAAGAAGAAGTGCGGATTCTTGACCACTGTGGGGTTGCGTAACCTGGGTAGCCATGGTGTGGCTAACCACTTCCTAACTCATGGCATTGGAAGATGAAAGTTTTATTTCCTGAAAAGCATAGCCATGGTCAACACTCCAAACAATCGCCGATTGGGTCATGATTCCCGGATATCATTATGGTCATTTTGGATCCTTGCCAGGTGGATGACCTATTAAGTAGAGGGGTCTTTTGACCATTGCACATATATGGACGTAGCAGCCCCGCTTTGAAGAGCAAGATTGCCACAGAAGCAAGCCATTTCCGCTATCCAACGCCCGAGACTCAAATATTTCCCATTGCAAGCCACTAAGTCTGGGCAGTTCAACTGTCGAATCCACGATCCGTGAATCGATGCCACTTCACTAAAACCAAAGGAGACCACCCAATTGCTTTGGGGGGCCGGTAGAGACTAGGCCCTATGCAGGTGGTGTACAAGTTGCAAACGCCCCCTGAAGAAATCCAGAGTCACCCCGGCTTTGATTGTCTCTATAGCAACTCGCCATGCTTATCTTAGTTCTTAAAGGACGGTTGTCTGGACTAGGCAAGTTGTTGGGGCTGATTTGAAAGGGAAGCCCCCGTAAAGGGCTTCCGGGCAACACTTACCAACTTTACTCTGCCCCAAGCATATAAAACTTACTCCTCCTGAAACACACCTCCAATTCTGGTCTATTTGTCTTGTCCTTTCTACACTAAAATAACAGAGTTAACCCCAATCAAAGGACTTATACATAAGCGGGCGGGTTTAACATAGGTTCCCAACAACTTGCTAAGCTTGGCCGAACACACAAGTAGCAAACAAGAAAGGATCCAAAAGGCGCGCGACGCTTTGTCACGCGAGGTGCCATGTGTGTTTGTTCAAGGTTGCTCGATTCGGCGGGTTTGTCTCAAACCGCCCCATGCCTGGCAAACTCAGTTGGCCAAAGCGAATCGACCTGCGAATCGACTTTTTGGTTTTCTCATTTCGGTGTTTATTTTGGCCACGAAAGGTGATCGCCTTCTATTTCTGGGTTCTTTGGTTGCAGGCGAGGTGGCAAAACCATACACAACCCCAGGTTTTAGGTATCCTTAGAACATCTAAGTCTGGTAGCTGTTTGTTTTCGCGCCAGTGGGACAACTCAGGTAGCCCTTGGTTATGGTTTCAGCCTTGTTTTCCAACTGGCGCGAAATGAATTTCGCAACCATCCACACAGTAAGAATGAGGTAACCCCCACTTGGTGGGTTGGATTGGTGGGAACTGGGGATTTGAACCCTTGGTGCTTGTAGAGAGTAGGTGGGAAACCACCCCCGGAACACCTCCAAAACGACCAGTCCAGACCGCCAACTATAGGGAAGCTGAAGTCGGATGACTTGCCCCAGCGCAAAAGCCAGGGTTGATCCAAGCAACCTACTTGTCATTTGTGGTAGGTTGAGCCTACTCGTTCCCCCGGAGTAGCACCTACAGAACCTACTTCTTAAGCTCCGCCTACTCCGCATACTACGCTTTTAGGGTATAGTGTCAAGAAACAGAACTAATCATGAGTAATTTGATTCATTAAACAGAATGTACCCCTGAAAAGGTGGGGATTTGGAGTAGGTCTACCTAGAGTCTCCATGACCCCTAGAAAAAGGGGTCATAACCCCCCAAAATGGGGCAAAGACCAACCCCAGTGTTTAAGGGTCAGAAGGAGACTGCAGGTAGCTTGAAAATCACAGAAACCGCCGAGGAGATGTCCAACATCATGAAGCTCCAGAAATGCATCATCCTTGGGGAAGCCTTCGCAGGAAAGACCCAGCGCTTTGGCGAAGCTGACGGGTGGCCATGGGATTCGTGGGTATACCCCCGAAAGCTCAGCGTAACCTGGTTTTCCATGGTAACCGCCTCCTTTTTTAGTAGAGGGTTGGAGTATCACGAGGCCACGGGTTTATTATTATCCTGTCCATTAACATGGAACCCACCAGAGGGTCCCTTTTAATTATTTAATTAATCGGGGGTACCCTCCCCACAAATATAACTTGACATGGAACCTGACAGGGGGTCCTGGGATTTTCCTTTTACCGGGTCCCGAACGTCAGGTTCTGGCTGTCAATTGGTGAGAGGTGGACAGGAGGGCACTCCAGGGTTTCCAGACTCAACGGCTGACTCAGATCCATACCTGAACCCATGGCCATGTCGGACCCTTTGTTTTCCGGTTTCGCTTTCTTTTTTTAAAAAAAATAAAAATAATAATAATTATAGCCAGAAGTCAAGTAACCCACAAACTAGGGGTTCATACCAGGGGTTCATATACGGATTCATAGATTCAGCCTGAACAGGCAGTGTCGGGCCACAAACCGTGACTTCTGGATTGCCACTACGGGGACACCTCCTTCAGAATCAGCTAGGTGATTTGTTCATGGGGAAGATTATTCCAAGGGGCGGGCCAAAGGTATCACATGTTGAAAGCTCCAAAAAATGGCTTTCCATTGTAAATACCTCCCTTTCTGACATGATACCCTGAACAAAAAGTATTTGGAGTGGCGGGAATGTCCTTCCATTTCCCAGCCCCACCTTGGACATTGGGGCCCGTCTCGCCGCTAGGCAACCATTGGTTTCCTTTTGCATAGGGTGGCAAGCCCTTTAGCACAAATAGTTTCTCTGCGCTACTCCATGCTCCAACTTTTTGGGGAGCCATCAGGTTTTGCTTTGCTCACCTTGTGGGACCTTTGCTTAAGTCCAAAGGTTGATTCGCCTTGAGCAACTGAAGTACAAACCACCACTTTTCTCAGATGTGCTACGATGGCAAGCCCTACGACAGACTACCCGGACCCGCAAAAAACAAATATATTCAGAAAAGCACAACTACCGCACCCGCCATAGATTACCCCCTACTCCAAACACCCTCTTTTTTCAGGGTATCATGTCGACCCTCTACTAGAAAAGGAGGTATTTACCATGGAAAACCAGGTTTTCCCAAAGATACCCTGAACAAATCGTGTATTTTGAGTAGGGGGTAGTTTTGGTTGAACCCCCCAAAAGGCAAAGCACAACTACCGTACCCGCCAGAATTTGGGTTGGCAACCCATTTTTCTGCGTAGTTCGTTCGGGCCCGTAGCCTTTCCAATTCCCAGCCGTTTGATTGAATCGCCGGTCCGAAGCCAAGTCCAGGCAAGCCAACCCCGAAAGCTCCAAATCCCAGCTACGACCTGGCTTTTCCTATGGTAGAACTGGGGTCATTATTTTGGCTGTTTCTGGGGGTTATCAATTATCAAATTAGAAAATGTGGTGGTTTCCCTTTAACCCACCACTTAGAGGGTGACTTTGAGGCCAGTAGAATCCGATGCTTCGTGAAGGATTGGCGTCATATCCCTGAAAAAAGAAAAAAAGACAACAATGGAGGGAAAAAAAAGGAAAAACGGGTAAGGTGTCCTGCCAGGTTGCATGGCGCTGTACTGGATAGAGAAAATCCATTTCGCACAACTTGAAGAAACCATTATTCGTTGGTATTTACAGGGCATCATCAGAAACTAGGGTTTCTTAGGTGGGAGTTCTTCCATCCAGAGTAGGTGTCCTTGTCGAATCTGGCGCTGGGTTTGTTTCTTTTCGTTTGCCAAATTTCAGCCCCCCGAACCTCGAGCCAAGGTTCCTGCGGGCCATATGTGGCGACAGCTTCTCCAAGGATCCCTCCGCCAGCTGCGGATTGGACTTCCGGGCCCGAATCGGCGGGCGCATCGATTTCGCGTGGATCTGAATTGATGTTTGTAAGGAGCTCCCATGAAATCCGGTCCAACCTGGCGAACCTTTTTTTTGGTGGCCGGTCATGGCGACAACCGGGCTGATAATCCCTTTTCGTCTTTGAGAATTTGTCCTTTCATTTTCCAGAGGATGCCCTTGTGCCAGCACGGAGCAATACCGAGTGTCCTATGTTTCGTCAAGGTTCCAAAAGGGGTTGCTTTCTTCAACATGGAACCCAACAAATTGCTTTGAAACGGATCCAAGTGGCAAATGCAGAAAGCAAGAGGCTCGAAACCTTTTCCAGCCGTTCGTTAGTTCGTTCAGTGGCACCAATTCCTTTTCCCCGCTTTGTTTTTGTGTGTTGGTTGCTCGCGCACGATTTGATGCGGGACGGATCGTTCCAGACAAAGTGTTCGTTCGAGGCCGCCGCATTGCCATGGAAATCCACAGCTAGCGGGTCCCTTGGTATCCTTTGGCTGGGGTGTAAGGGGGTAAGAAGTACCTTACCCCTGAAAGCTCCAAATACCCCAGCTGCTTTCAGGATATGATGTCAACCCTTTACTAAAAAGGTGGTATTTACCACACACAAAACAGAAACTTGTTTTCACAACAAAATCCCTGAAAAAAGAATCATGGTATTTGGAGGAGGGGGTAAACCTTGCCACAAATACCCACCAAAAGTTTGGGTTGCGGCGGTGGTCTCTCTTTCGAGGCGGGCTGGGGTGCAACCCAGTGGCTTTGTCTCACTCGGGGCCCTCAGGTTTCGGACGATCACTTTGTGGGATGCCATTTTCTGACTCAGCCAATCGACCAATCGAATTCACCTTGGGTGTGACAAAATGTCGGGTTCCCATACTGAGTCATGGCCCTACAAGGTTGAGCTTTTAGTTCCTTTTCGCAAGTGATTTGATGCGGGAAGCAAACAAGTTATGTTGTAACTTGTTCTGGCCGATCCTCTCGATCGGAAGTGAGGCTTGCTGCCCCAAACAACACGATTTTCTTGGGAATACCATTTTAGTGCCGGAAAAAGAAATCCAACTTTGGCCAATCCTTCGTCAAGTAACAGGCACCGGGGGCGAAAAAGATGGGCCCTCCGTTTCTTGGCAGGTCTTTGGTCTATCCGAATCGCCCCTTGGACCTTATGGGAAACAAATGGCTGTTTTATTGAAGCCAACAAAAGGTCAACCTTTAAACCTCAGGCGAAGGGAGCTGGAATCTGAGAAAGTACGAGGCCCCCTTTTTCCCAGCCCCAGCTAACGGCATTTTTCCGGCTCCGAAACGATCCAGGGGTCGGACCGACTGAATCGATGTTCGCGGCATGCTCGAATCCATTGGCCGAAAGATAAACCATGAAACCTTCGAATCCGGGGAGAACCGACGGAATCGATTTCCGCGGCATGCTTTCCTTTTTGCACCGGGAAAAACGGGGAAAAAACACTGACCAACAAACCAAAAGGTCGGCAGGTGCTGCACGTGGAGCACGAGGACCGGAAGGTGAAGCTGAAGATTTGGAGCGCTCGCGGCATGGAGGCCCTGCCTGCTTGCTTCCGCGCGCCTCGGTTCCGAGCTTCGGAAGACGATGCGGACGTTCTGAGTTCTTACCCTCCCTCCAACAATCATGGAAGCTGACAGGAGGGTTTTGGAAGACCATTTTCCTTTTGGGCAACTTTTTTGTCCACTTGGAAAGAGGGTACCACCCAGAGGCTCCTGGCTTCGGCTTTCAATGGCGGACCCGACCCCTCCATTGGACACTGGTTGGGGTCTCCAAACCAGGTTGGTTGAAGGCCCTAGATGAATCGGGAGTCTTTGGGCAGCGGGCATCCTAAAGAGTGCTCCGTGATTCCAGGTCCCTTTTGTTTCTCCCTGCAACAGACGCTTGCTGCCAAGCGTTTGGTTGACAGCCCATGCATTTGTGTCAATGAAAAGCAGGTCAATCAAAGGAGAAGCTCCTTCCCTCAGTACTCTCACGCACGAAGTGTGGCGCAACATGTTGGACACGCGATTTCCAAACAAACAATGTGCAGCACACGGGCGCCCCGAACATGAAATCAAGAAAGACTCGAA